ATTACATTACATTACATTACATAATTACATACCATACATACATACATACATACATACATACATACATACATGCATACATACATAACATACACAACATACATGTGAGGCTGTTACCATATGTGTAGTAGACTGCACTTATAGACCGACACGAACAAACAACCCTCAACCCGAAGCCAGTTCATGCTGCGGCTGAAGGGGCTCGGGTGCTTTGTGCCGGAGAATTTGAGTCAACGTCTTTGAAATCTTCACCTGGGCATCCACTGTTCGTTTGAGGAGGTTAAAGCCAGAAAGAGGAAGCCAGAAAGTTGGAACAGCAGTAATTTCCACCCGAAAGCCTTGAATAGGTCTCCCTTTCCCACGTTCCAAGCCCTACATGAAACCCTGAAGCGACATCCTTAAAAACCTGAAGCTCCAAAGAGCTTTAAGACTCTCGAGACTCTAAAGCGAAACCCCTAAACTCCGACACCGACACGCTTAAACGTTAAACGCCCGAAGCCCTAAAGGCTCTAAGACTCTCAGACCCCAAGCGCTAAATCCTGAACCCTATAGGGTTTCGGGTTTAGGCAGTTTAGGCCTCGGTCTTCGGGGGGCAGAATAAGTAACCCGGAAATAGTATACGGTAACTACTTAGGCCCCTAAATTAGCGTGAACGTCCGGCTCGATGGTGTTTGCCACTTACCCAAGTCGCACATAAAAGTGCGTGTGCCCAGCTTGAACAGGGAGACACGAATTGCACAACACGTGTGCAAGCACCAATGCGAATTGGATGTATAAAGTACGTCCAAACTCTAAGTCCTATACCCTAGGCCCCCGACTAACGGACTAGTATCTTCCAGACCTTGGAAGCCAAGGTTCGCCGAAATCACAAGTGCTTCAAATGCAGCTTTCAGATGAAGTTGTAGGCTTCAAGGATTATGGCGGACCCTGAAGTGCATAGTGGTCAGTGACACCCAAGCTAGAGCACTTAATCATACATTCATGCACCCATAGGCTTAGGGCTCAGGGCGGCTGGCTTTGTGCAAGCAGGATGCGTCACGCGTGAGACCGTCTCCCCATCCTGCTCATGACTTGATAGGGCACGGCGGAGTATATCATTGAGTGATTCATCAGTGCTTGGGGCAATACAAGCAAAAAGCCGCTTGACTTACCTGTAACTCTGAACTGGACATCATGAATCCTACGCCGCAAACCCTGCCTCACCCTACTTGCTGAAGCCCTAAACCCTAAACCCTAAATCAGCAGGCTGGCTTCTAGACCTATCGGAGGCTACCGTAGCTCACCGTTAAGGTTTCAGACCATGGGTTGCTTGAAGCTTTCACTCTGTAGGAGTTATGTCTAGAAGTTGAGGGCTTGTGTCTTCAAAATGCATGTGGTTTGGGATTCTTGGCTGTTTCGGGGAAGGGGTGATTGGCTGCCTTGGCTCAGACGTGATCTTGCTTAGCACATATCTGTGAGGGTCTTAGCAGCCAAGATACGAAGGTTGGGGCACCTTTGTTTGTTGTAGAGGATGTTCTCACGATGCTGCATCGTTTCGGAAGATGTGCTCACGTTTTTAGGTTTTCGATTGGGGTATAGATAGCGCTTCTGCGAGGGAATTGTCGTTTGGTGTTCCTACTGTTTCGTGCTTCTCCTCCAGCTTCGCACAGGGTGTCAAATACGGCCTTAAGCCTTAAGTACCCTCATGAAGTCTGTAGTAGTGGCACCAGGGATCCTCAAACAACGGATGTTGCAGTCTTTGACTAAAGTTCAAACCCGGAAACATGGGCCTCGAGGTAAACTCTAGCGCCAAAGCGTCCAAAGCCAGACAACCCTTGACCCTCAACCCCGCCCGCCGAGCAAACCCTTCTACAACCCTTACAAAGCCAATCAAATGCAAAACATTCGCAACATCTCCTACTGCCACTACTACTACTACTACTACTACTACTACTACTTTTAACATCACAGCCCATCTAAAATCCTTAGACACCCCTTACAACAATCTCAACAACAAACCTTAGGTTATAGAACGTTGAGGACAAAACAAACTTTCTGAAACTCTTATGAAAACCTCGAATAAAATCTCAACCGCTACACCCTAAACAGAAAACCCCAAACCCTAACCCCTAAACCCTTAAACTCGAACCCCTGCATCGGCCTCCTGCCGATTTGCTCCCTTTCGCGCCGCTGGCATCAGCAAATGCTTCGGCCCGACTCAGTGGCCTGCTGATGATGCTAGCTTGTTTAAGGTTGAAGGTTTAGGGTTTAGGGTTTTCGAGGTTCGTTGTTTCGCTTAAGCTTAAGCACCCTCTTTCCGTCCGCAGATGCGAAAAGCCCCACAGAACAGGTGAGGTCGGAGTGATACCTATTGTTTAGGGTGAAAGGCTTAGGGGGCTTAGGGTTGAGGGTGAGGTTTATAGGTGTAAGGTTTAGGGGGTTGGGGTTTAGGATTGAAGGGTTTAGGGTTCAAGGCTTCTGTCATTGTTTTGCTAGTGGTGCTTCAATCAAGGGTATTTGTCAACATGGTGCTTTGGGAATTGCTTGTTATACTGCTTCGAGGTTGTCTTTGTTTAATGGTGACCTCAGTTTGTTTGTGGCGACCCGGATTTTAGGTTTAGAGCTTCGCCCAGGTGCATGGGCTTTGGACTTTAGGGTGTGTCTTTCAGGGCTTGGCAATTCGGGTTTAGTGCTCGAGGGCAAATGCCCAGTTGTCACTGTGATGTCTTTTCGAACTCTGGTTTCGTCCGACTGCTTGTATCTCTTGAAGGCGCTGGGACATCTATTCAATCCGATACATTAGGGTGTGCAGGGCTGACGATGTCTTGGACTTCAGCCATCTTTGCAACTCCCTGGCTGTTTTTCGCACCAAGGCCCCCCACCGGCCCCCTGCCACAGGCACAAGAGGAGGAGGACGAGGAGGAGGAGGAGGAGGAGGAGGAGGGAGGAGGAGGAGGATTCTTTGTCTAACTAACGGTACTAAACTTCTGACTGCGAGTCCACTGCCTCTTGCTCTGTCCAATGTACTGTTGCTTCTACTTACGTCGCGGCTCGTCATGGTACCGCTGCCATGCCTTTGCCTGCTGGAACGGCAGGATTGCTGTAATGACTCCAGTCCACTTGTTCTGCTATCGCTTCGGGGAAGTATGCCTACTCGACATTGCAGCTTGAGTGTCGTTTGAATGCGAGTAAAGCAATGCAGAATGACGAATACGTGAGTGGGGGGGAACATTGTGGACGCCGAACAATCAAGAGTTTGGGTCAGTGTGCTAACAGCAGTACTAGTAGGAGTCAAAAACAGAGCCGAGGCTGTGGGAGGGAACCATACAAGGGAGAGCGGACAATACATCCGGGGTCGGAGGGCATCCTACCGTTGGGGTTGGGGGGGGGAGGATAGGGGTACCATCGGGTGCGGAAGGCATGTGCAACAAGGAGCAAGGAGATGAGAGCAGGAGCTGAAACCCAGAGGATGGCTCCAAGGAAAGCCCGGAAGGGAATTAACTTTCCCTGCAACGGACAGAATCCAAGTGCAGTCCCATTCGGGCAGTGGCGCTGGACGAGAGGGCAAGCGGAGAGGGAGAAGAAGCCGGCAACACGAAATCCAGAAGTGTATCAGAAAATACAGAGACCACGCGCAACACAGACCAAAAGGCCTTGAGACTTGACACCTAAACAGGGTACCCCTAATACCCTAAACACTTCTCAACCCAAACCCTAAACTCACATCAAGAGCCCCCACACCAATGCTCTCCAAGTGGCTTCGCTTCCACTTCAACAAGCGTGGCTTTCGGCTGGTCCTTCGACAGCAAAGCCCATTGGCGTCTTACTGGTTAGAATAATTGGGGTTGTAGGGTGTATTATCGTATAACAGTACTGTGGAAACCCAAGGGACCACATTGGCAAGTATTTCGGCGTCTATACTAGATTGGGCTTTCCGCTTTTTCGGGATTAAAGCCTCGGATGTAGGAGTCAAGCTTCTACGACTAATTCTTCGATTGGGCCTTTGTGGTTTGGGGGCTTAGTGCTTCAAGGGCTTATAGGGTGTAGGGTTTAGTGTTTCTAAAGCGTGTAGGGTTTGGGGTGTGCAAAGATTCCAAGACCGCAGAAACAACCGAAACATGCAGATGGGACCAGCAGAAGGGATCACGACGGCTTCGCCGATCCAAGCAGATCCAGTCCAAGGGAGCAGGAATGTTACCAAACAATCGCTCAGCTACAGTGCTTTGCAAGATTCGAATACCGTTGTAGAACTCTCATGACCCCTATACAGCTCCAATGTGAGAACCTATGTAAGCCTATAACCATGCTCGGTCATGGTCCTAGCTTGTACCGATTCTTGTCAACGAGCCCATGCCAACGTCTGGTCCGGGATTGTTGACTTCAGGATGCTCGGTTTGATGGATCTTATCGTCTGTGGCTTGAATGATACCGAATTCCCTAAATCGCAGGCCCGAAAGGCCTAAAGGCACCAATCGAAATCAGCTCAAGCCCGACAACATCTGTCGAGTCAAAGAATCGCCCAAAACCAGTGGAGACCCCATCCTTGACCTTTAGGGTTTAGGGTTGTAGGGGTTGCAGTTTGGGTTTGTAGGATTTATAGAGGTTAGGGCTAATCCCCAAAATCCCAAACCCTAAACCTCGAACCGAAACCGTAACGAAGGCCTTGGCAGTACCTGGCTTGCCCTTCTTAGTGATACCGAAAACCAGGCTTCTATTCCCTAAAGGCCTTGGCAGTACCTGGCTTGCCCTTTTTGTCCCCCGACTTCCACCGCCGCCCGTTGTCGCCTTTGGGCCTCTCAGGTCAGCTGCGAAGTCTGGGGGTTGACGGCATTTAGGGTTTAGGGGACTACGATTTGTGGTATGTTTAGGGTTTAGGGTTTGGGGTTTAGGGGAATACGATTTGTGGTATATTTAAGGTTTAGGGTGTAGGGGAATACGATTTGTGGTATATTTAGGGTTTAGGGTTTAGGGTTTAGGGGAATACGATTTGTGGTATATTTAGGGTTAAGGGTCTAGGGGAATACGACTTGTGGTAATGCAGGGGCCTTGATAACTAGAACAGGGTTTTGGCGTATATTGTACTATAAATATAAGAAGCAGCCCTAAGAATAGCGTTGGTAATTATTTAGGCCCCTCTATTGTATCTAGGGTTCCTGTAGCAAAAACCTGAAGCCTTGAAACGTTCCTACTCCCTCACCTCCGATCCCTCTCTAGGAAGCCTTCACGATTGGAATAAGATGTTTGGGTGATTGAATACTTTGTTTAGACTGGATGAAGACTACAATGGACAGGTTACTATTCGGACACCAACATTCACCTCGCACTCCTCTTCCGACATATCATATTCATCGCATGAGGAATCATGGCCACAATCTGCATTCTTATCCACCTGATCTTGTTGCTGGTCATGACGGTGCTGGGTGATGACGCTGATGATCAAAACTTGACGACTCCACAACCCTACTCCCTTCGCGGGTCTGCACCCAACGAGAGGCCATCATGATCCTAAACACTGGCAGCCGGATAGACGCTAATAAATTACTAATAAACCTCATGAGCCTGATGCCCTCCAATCCCAAACTGCAACCCCAACCCTAAACACCTAAGGCCCTATGACGTATAGCCAAAGTCCTATGAAAGCCCTAAACCCCAAAGCTTCGACCGGGAGCCCACGCGCATTCCTCTGCTTCGACTGCGAGTTGCCGCCTCCAGGAAAAGGAAGGGCAACTCTCATGTGCTGTCTATGCCTATACCGTTTATGTGTGTGTGCACTATCACGGTACGCCTTGGTATAGACCAACCGGTGCCTTGGTTCTGTGATCTGTGCGACTGGTCCGGGTAGTAAGACACAGCTTGTGTGCTGCAGGCGGCCGCCCACTGTTGCCATTCGGCATCAGTGTACCTGTTGCTCTCATGGGATGTTGCAAGCTTCTGCTTTCGGAATTTAAGGATTCGTATTCTTTTTCGGGGGTCGAGCTTCAACAAACCAATAGTAGCTCCGATATCCGAAGTTCCTCAATAGAGGCCTTTAGGGTTTAGGGTTCAGGGTTTAGGGTCTAGGGTGATTGAAAATACATGCTTACATCTGCTTAGCTTGATTGGCTTAGCTGCGGCTCATGTATGGGACCGCCGGAGGCTCCTATACACATGCCCACATCTTACCAAGAAGCAGCAAAAAAGCTGTGTTAAGGGATCTGGTCGTGCCAAGCCGCTGGCCGTAGGCCTGGTAATTCGCCTGGTGCTCCCATTGAAACGGCCAGGCATTCCCTGCATCGTACTTTCCCGGGACCATCTGCGGAGGAGACCTTGGCCCCCACCACGGCTTATGCCTTTAAACCCTAAACCCTAAACCCCAAACCCTAAACCTTAAACCCTAAACCCGCCTTTAAGGGCGTTCGGGTCCGGATAAAGGGGCCAGGGCTCTCGGAGCCTATAGGCTTAGGGTTTCACTCTTTCGGGCTTCGTGCTCTGAAGTACTGGAAACTTCGGGGCCGCCGCTCTAAACCCTAAGCCTGCACCCTGAGCCCTAAACCTCAAGGCCCCCACTTGGAGGATGGTTCCTGGGGTTTTAGGGTTTAGGGTTCAGGGGTTTAGGGTTTAGGGTTTAGGGTTCCTGGGGCCGGGTTGGGGATCTTGGGACTTAGTAAGGTTATAAGTCCCCTAATGGGGGTTATAAGTATAATTACCTTAGTTATAACCCTACTCACTAAGTCCCATGATCCTCTAAGCACCCGAAGCTCAACGCCTACACCCCAGACTTCTATCTCCGAAGACTTTCTCTCGTGGTCCACGTGCCTGTGCAGTCTATATCTTGGTCTCAAAGCGTCTTAAAACATCCATGTCGCAAGCTCTTTGAGGCCAAAGTATTCACTCTAGGGTATAGGTGCATGGGCCCTCCAAAGCCTATAGTGAATCCCCTTTATAAAGCTCTGATAGTTTCCTAAAGAAGCCCTTAAGCGAAGTCTCAACGGATTAAGGGCTCCAATGGACCCTTGGGAGTTTAGTGTTTGCCGAGTAGCGACCCTAGCGGAGGGAATTGGGCATCCAAAGCATTCGACATCCAGGGACCTGGCGGAAGATGTATTGGGGTTAAGGTTTATAGGGTTCAGGGTTTAGGATTTATGGGGGATTACGAACCTATATCCTTTCACTACCATAACTATAACGTGCAGTTTATAGGATTTCGTAGCAAAGCAACGTACGTTCAGTGAACAAAAGCCAAGCTTCAAGCCTCTGGTGAAGGGCCTTCTAGCCTTCTCTCTACTCACCTAAACCCTTATCTCCGCAATCAAAGGAAATCATTATAGAACACATAACCCAAAAAAGGTTATACTGCAAGAGCCTTAGCGTCTGGGTTTGGGCTTCAGATTGAACGCTTCCGAGTCCGGTTAAGTCTTCCTTCTTGGGGTCCGGGGGTCAAAGAGCCCTTTGTGAAGCCTTCTGAGACGATCTATATATTTAGGGTTCAAGGGCCGAAGGCTATTGCCCAAATTTGAGGCAGCGTGGCTAAGGGTTGAGCTGGTTTAGGGTTTAGGGTCTTGGGTATAAGGTATATGTGCAAAGGCGCGAGATGGTTCTTCCTGCTCACGTGGGTAAGGGAACGAACCAGGCACTTTCTATGTGCAGTCACCCTGAAACTCTGTGAGCCCTGAGTGTCCAACTTTCCTTATGATTGCGGTCTATTTGACGGGGCCACTTGCCTGTCCGGAATTTCTCCTGATGATGGGTCCTTGCTTCTGGGTAGTTGCACCGAACCCACTAAAAAGCATGTGGGGGCTACGAACTCGGGCCGGTCATGTTTACGGCTTGCGGTTGCTCAACACCTGGAGAGACTCGTCAGACCCCATGGTCCGGTTTGGAAGATCCCACACACACACACCCTAAACCCTAAACCCTAAACCCTAAACCCCCCCCACACACACACACACAAGCGCAGCATGCAGCCTCCTCCTCTGCCCACAAGCTGTTGGCTCCGGGGCTATGTCTCTAAGTTCAGCAATGTGGTGGTTTCAGAAAACTAGGGGACCCTATTTAGAGGTCCTTATAATAAGGATCCTACTATTTAGGGTCCTACATCAGGGTCACCCATTTTCTGAAACTCTCATGTGACCCACAGGACGAACCAGACTGAGCATGTGAAGTTGCCTTACGACATGCATGCCGAGTCCTGGCGTCTGTGGGTCTTGCTGCTTGGGGTGGGGCTGAGTGTGCCTGGATTGCTAGCGCGGGTGCCACATATCTCGACTCTGCTGCAGGATGATTTTTGGGTGCAGCTAGTACTTCCGAGATGTTGGGGTTCGTTGCTTGCAATCACGCCACCTTTTGTAAGTCTTGTTGTTCTGTCTGCGCAGACCCGAGTGGCAGGGTCCTCGAGAATCAATCTGCCACGGGATCTGAGCGATAAGGTCTCGTGCTTGCACCCAACATCTAGAGCTTACCTTAGACTCACAACCTAGTCCCCAGAAGTTAATAAGTTTCTATATCAGAGAATGTTTTCTTAGCAGCCCAAAATGCAAGCGTTGGCCAAGGTGCGGCTTTGGAACCTTTCTGTCTCACATGCAGATTCCCGAACTGCAGCCACTAGCCGCTAGCCCTCGATCATGTGGCACTGCATGGTTTAGGGTTCAACCGGTCGCAGAGGGAATTCGGCTTGGGGTTTGTATGGTAGCATTTTCTGGTGGGCTCAGGGGTTACTGCAGGGTTTTGGGGGTTAGGTTTCGGGTTCTTGTGGTCCTATGCGGGAGTTCAAGAAGATAAGTGGCACCAAAATAACACCTTAAATCGCAAAGAGATCGTTTTAACTTTAAGCGGCAACAAGCCAATTCTTGCAGTCTCCTAAACAGGAACTCATCTAGAAATCTCTAGTTGTCTGAGCCTGTGGCATTCAAGATTTACGACATCTGACGATGGCAAAGGGTTTAGGCTTGGACGATCAGTGGACTCAGTAACTTGTGACAGATTTCGCTACTTGGGGTATCAGACGCACTGCTTGCCACGTCCACGATCCTGCGGTAAATGAACTCGACCCCTGACCTCCTAGAGACGATGCTCAAATTCATCTGCGTAAACCCGCACAGTACACATGGCAGCTAGGGCACTTCGGGTCACCCAACCTACCGACTCTGTCCGTCCCACTCCGCGTGCATGAACCTTTGACGCTCTTGTTTTGCAGCTGCACAGTTCCATCGCACCGTCGTATTGAATGAGAACTCCTGGGCTTTGTTGCAGGGCCAAAGGGGCTGAGATTTCTCGTTGTGCCAGGCTGTGGGGTCTAGAGTCTAGAAACGAGGGTTGAGCTTGGTAAGGTTCTAACAGATACATACATACATACATGCATACATACGGGTCGTACGGTGTGGAGTTTAGACCTCTACTGTGCAGTGTCTTCGTGTTGACCCACTGTTGATGATTTAGCTGGGGATCGAGCTTGTCTCTGTGGTCGGTGCCGGCCAGCATGCTTGACTAGCGGAGAACGAGTTGCGTGTGCTTGATTTCAGCCCTAAACCTCCCTGATCCCAAAACCCCAAACCCCAAAGCCCTAAAGCCTAAACCCGAAGCCCTAAACCCTAAGCCCTAAAGCCCTAAAGCTTAACCCTAAGCCCTAAACCCTACGTCCGAAACCCCAAGAGCAGCAGGGGCCTTTCGGATGGATGGAGCCTTTTCGTAACAGGTTGTGCTTTCTTGGCCTGGAATACCAAGGCCCTACACGGGTTTAGGGTTTAGGGTGGCTATGGGGTTCTATAGCAGCAAAATTTGAGGTGGTTGTTGTGAGTTCAGTCAACTCTGGTCCTCCGCTTGGCCCAATGCATACACTACGAAATCTAATCTAAATGCAAGTCTACTTCAGCCGAAACCCTGAACACTAAACTGTGTAACACCAAGAGCGGCAACCTTACGTGTCAGATCTTCGCAATATCGAATCTATGCAGGCCCACTTCTCTTACCTTTGGTTAGTAGGGAATGGAAGAATGGTAGTAATAGTAGTTATAGTTGTACCCATTCCTCCATTCCCTACTAACCAAAGGTAAGTTCTCTATGTTGAGGAGACCTTCAGTTGCTGATAATCATGAACGCATTGTATTCCTGCACTCGAAGGCCCAAAAGTTCTTGTTGGCGACAGTTCACGGATACACTACCCCACCGACCCTACCCTAAACCCTGAACCCCACACTGTGAGCCCAAAGGCATGCTTAGATGTTCCGTGACAGGGGTTTGGGGATGACCGTGGTGTTTTCGGGTTTCGTGTTCTTTCGAGATCGGAGGCGCTGCGGGTTTGGTGACTTCAAGTGTAGTGTCAGAATGACAGAGTGTCAGCAGAAAATAAAAAGTAAACCTCACAGCCCTCAACCTAAAGCTCTGAAGCCAAAACCCGCATTCGAGAGCCTTTGGCTACAGTCAGTTCCGGTCCACTAACCTTAGGCTCCTGCGGCTAACCCTTGGATTTGCATAGAGATGACAAACACAGGTGCAAGATGATATCCACTAGCCTCCAGCGGTGATAACAAACACAAACCCTAAACCTCAAACCCTAAACCCTAAAAAGTTGAACATTCCGAGCCCTTGATTACTGCGACTCTTCTCATTCTGGAGGCCATGCTCTGACCCTCGGCTCCCCCCAAAAAATTAGGGCTTTGCGTTTGTAAGGGCTCTGGCCAGAATCCCAGATCTGAATCCCTACGGCCCATGCCCAGCCCAATGCCCCAAACTCCTGAATATTTTTTTTTTGCCAAGGGTCGTCCAGGGAATGATGGTCCAGCTGCGGAAACGCCGCTGCTAGCCACCACTGAACGGCAATGAACCTGCAGGCAAAGCCCAAAACACAATACCTAAAACCCCAGGCTTTAGGCTCTTATAACCACGCATCTATACCTGGGTAAATCTCTGAAGTAGCTTCCTTTTCAGGTCCCCAAAATAGTACGGCACCCTCATAAAAAAAGACCCTCAAAGGGACCCTAATTTAGAGAAGTACCCACCAAGAAACCTTGAGGATGCATGCATCGGACTCGAGGGGTTAGGATTCGGAATACACTTGGGGGGAAAGGGATTGGGAACGCTGGTTATTTTACTATCCGCTACCCTGAACCCCTGAACCCACCTTCCACCCATAACCCAAAGCCCTAAACCCATAACCCGAAACCCTATAAACCCATAACCCTAAACCCTGAACACTTAAACCCTAATGCCCTTGCAGCCCAGACTCCAAACAGGGACCAACGACGCCTCAACCTTAAGATTTAGGGTTTAGGGTTCAGGGTTGAGGGTTTAGGGCTGAGGGTTTAGGGTTGAAGGTTTAGGGTCCTTCCACCCTGTTCCTAGACTCAGACCTTCAAGATGATATCATTGCGGCATTACTTTTAGGTGCATTACTCTAAGGACCCTAAACTAGGAGAATTATGGCATATTCCTTATTATCATTACTATTAATGGGTAATGCAGGATTTATATCATCAGCCGTATGTCAGAAAATCATAACACCTGAAGAAGGAGGGTTTATAGGGTCCACATATACCCCACTTAAGACCCTGAACCCCGATACCCTAAGCATTTTTCAGGCCCTGAAAAACCCTAAACTCTTAACCCCTCAACCCCGAAACCCTAAACCCTAAACCCCTACACCCCCAAACCCTAAAACCTTCAGCCCTAGGATAGTGCCCCAGGCCTTTCTGGGCTTTCCTTGCAAGAGCTGCAGGGGCGATGACGCCTGGGCTTGTTGGTTGTGGACAGGCCTTCAAGAGCTACAGGAAACCTGACGAAAGGGCTCCTTCTTATGATTTCCGTACAGTAGGTCCTTGAAGCGGTAACGCTGTTCAAGACGTCCTTTTGACGATTTCCTTTTTTCGTTCGTAGCCGGGTAGATCATTTAGGGTTAAGGTACTGCTATCGGTCCGAGGCGGCTATCACTCACCTAGTTAAAACCAGGGGCTATCACGCAGGGATCCAGTCCCCCAGTCCCTACTAAGAACCGGGGAGATTAACCAGCTGGCACCAAAGCCAAGGCTTCCAACGTGGTGGCATTCTGTTGAAAGGTTTGGGGTCTCGGGTATATGATCAGGGCGTAGATTTGAGGGCCGGGTTTAGGGCTTCGAGCTTGAGGAACGCATATCCGAGGTACTCGGGAGGCTATTTGCCAGGGATCGAGAATAGAAGCAAGGACGAGTGCTACCAGCCGCCTTCCAATTCACTACAGCACAACCCCCGTGCGCACCCCTCATGCTCACAAATGCCTGAAGGGAACCAGTCAGATTGCTCCCTTATCTTCCTATAGATTGCAAGCACGGCCTCGAGCTATACTTGAGATGCCTTGATGTCAACCATCAACCCATGCACGTGCTGAAGAGTAGATCCTGCAAACCACAACGCCGAAACGCGGTATCGGGCCTATGGTTCAGGATCCCTAAACCCTCAACCTAGGATGGTTTAGGGCTGGGGGTTTAGGGTTCAGGATCTCAGGTCCAGGGTCTCTTCTCCCGCTATCCAAGCGAGTATTACATTCCAGCAAGACTTTCAAAAGAGGTTCCTCCTGCCTTCCAGAATCGCCAAAGGGCCAGAGCTTAAGCTGGTCGGGTGTGTAGTAAGCTGTAAACTCTGTAGTATGGGCACCTGAAGATTAGAAGAACATTTTGAGGTACACTATAGACCTACTACCGATACTATGTAGGGAACGGCGAATGCAGCTGCTGAGGGGCTTCAGGACTCTAGGGCGCTGTAAACATTCACAGTTGGACTCAGTTATGAGCACCAAAACCAGCGCTCAAATACAAACCTGCTTTAAGGCCGACCCACATCTTGGACATTCTAGGACTCGTGACCATCACCAAACTCGGGTCCACTGTTCGCTTGTCGACCCTAGTCTTCTGCTGTGTTAGAGTGTGCACCTTCGAAACAAACGCTAGCACCAACCTCGCATCAAAGCTGGTACTTTGCCTCAGTAGGTAGCCCCTATGACCCTGAATCCACCGTCAGGAAGATAAATCCCGAGCCGATCCACCGCGCAGCGGGTCGGCTGAAGGCAGCCCGCAGGAGTTTGTAGCCGAGGCCATGGTGGCTCAAGGCCTCAAGCACCTTGGCTTTTTGAAGGGTTTAAAAGGACTTAGGCTTTTGGAGTTTTAAGGGTTTACAGTTTAGGGTTTGGGGTTTAAGTGTTTTGGGTTTGGGGGTTTAAGGGTTTAGGGTTTAGGGTTCTTGTCATAAGACTGCAGTGGCCCCCTTTCCTCTGCACGGGTTTAGGTTGAGGGTTTGTGGGGAAGGGGCTTGTAGTTGAGGGTTTAGGTTTAGTTCAAGGTATTCGGGTTTGGTGTTCAGGGTTTGGGCTGTGACCCATAAGCAACAGACCCTTGACATTGATCTGGGGGGGAGCGGCCTCAAGGTAATTCATTTGGGGATATGGGCTAAGCAGGCTCACCTTTCAGGTTTACGATCTTACCTGCTTGATCTTGCTCGTTGTCAAAGGTGCCTTTAACCCTAAACCGCAAACCCTAAACGTCACATCCTAAGCCCTAAACCGTAAACCCCAAACCCTTCTCTAAAGTGTTGGGATGTCGGGTTTAGGGTGCAATGCCTGCAGCAGCTAAACTTGCGGCATTGCGAAGTGCAAGTTATGGTGGTCTTGACGATAAGACTTGTCTTCGAGTGTATGACTCGATACGTCTCATAACCTTGAAACCCACCAAACGTAGAACAGCAGCAATATCAGCATAGCCTGCACACACGCTGGTGTGTGTGTATGTAAGTATGTATGTATGTATGTATGTATGCATGTATGTATGTAAGTATGTATGTATGTATGTATGTATGATTGTATGTATGTATGTATGTTTGTATGTTTGTATGTATGTATGTATGATTGTATGTATGTATGTATGTATGTATGTATGTATGTATGTATGCATGTATGTATGTATGTATGTACGTATGTAATGTATGTATGTATGTAAGTACGAAAGTATGTATGTACGTATGTATGTATGTATGTATGTATGCATGTATGTATGTATGTATGTATGTACGTATGTAATGTATGTATGTATGTATGTATGTATGCATGCATGCATGTATGTATGTATGTATGTATGTATGTATGATTGTATGATTGTATGTAGGTATATATGTATGTATGTATGTATGTA